GGACATAGGAACCAAAGCAGAAGCCTTCTTAGTCTGCTTTCTTACATAACACAGGACTACGTTCCTAAGAATGGCTCCACTCACACTGGGATGAGCACTCCCAAATCAATCATTAATCCATAAAATGCCCCACAGATTTGGCAGGCCAACCTTGGATGGAGGCATTTTCTCAATTGAAGTTTTTCTTACCTAAATGATTCTGGTTTGTGCCAAGTTTCAAAAACAAAACAAAACAAAAAACCAGCCAGCAGTGACTTGACCCAGGAACTGGGTGTTCTGGTGTTGTCATCATCATCTTCTATCAATGTTCTGATCTCAGAGTTTGACATTGGCTTTATGGACAAGCTGGTCTGGGTGCTTGGGCTGCCGAGGAAGCACAGGCAGTGTAGAGGAATATGTATCATAAGGTGCTGAGCTGTTAAGGGTGGCACCTGGTCTCCACAGGCACACATGGACACAGCTCCATAAGACCCTGCTCTCAACCCCACAGTCACTCACTCAAAAAAGTGTATGTGATTTGAAAGGAACTAGGCAAAGTTAACCCTGTCTTATAGTTTGTTCAGACCAGTTTCCCAAATGATTATCTGTCTGCAGGCAGAGCAAAGTACTATCGGCCTCCCAGTGCCATGAAATAAAAGGTTAAGCAGACATGAAAATGGTGACCAGACTTTCACCTACTTTAGTAAAGCTATGGGCTGCAACAAAGAGTCAGGCTTTTTCTGTGAAAGTGACTTCATGGCCGTTTTTTCTTTTTATTATTGTTAAACACACACGTGCGAGCACACACACACACACACACACACACACACACACACACACACACACCATGCTAGAGTCCCAAAGTGGATTGTTCCTATCTATTTCACCTAAGTCATTTCCTCCATCATTCACTGCACTTCCTGAGTCCTTCCTAAACTGAGAATGCTGGAGCTTAGTGATGGACAACCAGTTCTTACTTGTTAGAAACAGTTACCAAGAGCAGATCAGACCCATGTGGTAAGGTGTGAAAGGGAACACACACCATAGCCTGGGACTCTATTTGTCCTCTTCTACCCTAAACTGAGGTGGTTAGCAATTCATTTAGAGTCATTCTGGATTTCTAATCATCTTACAAAAGAGCATCTGTAACTGGCTTGTACACAGGCTTCCATCACAGATTAAATAATAGCACAGGTTCTCTAATCTTTATTGGAACTTCACTGTCACAGAGTAAAATGCGGGTGCCAAGGGGACATATTGATAGGAAAATATGGAAGAGCCCCAAAGTCTTACTGAAACCGTGCTCTGAAAGCCACATCTTGCTCTAGGAGGTCTGTTTGATGCTCCCCGATCTGCCTGCACCTCAATCTCCAATATACCCTTGGGGCATTGGAGAGCAGACTGAATCTTATAATTTCCTCAGAGAGATGAAGATAAGTCTTAAGAAACGAGGTTCCAGTTCACAGACCCTCCAACTCCAGCGTGTGTTGACAGGGAGGACGTGTTCCTTTTTCAAGATGAAGATAGAAAGCTCACATTGACTGTGTAACTTGAAAGCAGAGTTATAGGTCTTGGTTTAGGAATGATACTTTGCCCAAGGTAGTGAAGAACATGCAGTCAAACCCCGGATGTGAACTCACAGCTCCTGTCTTTGCTATAATCTGGCTTTTGATCCCTGCCCAGTAGGCGTCAGTTTATCAGAGTTCAGCTCCGTCTCAGCTCTGACTTGGGTCTCCAGTTACTGCCTGTGCCATGTTTGGACAAATTAAAATTTCTCCTTGGGATCCCATTTCTTCATTGCATAGTGAATTCACACACACACACACACACACACAGCCACAATTAATGTCAAAATGTGCAGACTTAGGATTATTTAGTTTTCCTCTATTATCTTTTATGTGAAAATGTCTGCTTCTCCCAAATTCTCTCTTCTAAAACATACCATTTCATAATTAGTTACATTTGCTTGCTTTGTGTGTGTGTGTGTGTGTGTGTGTGTGTGTGTGTGTGTGTGTGTACACCACTGTGTATGCTTGGGGAATGGGTTCTCTCCTTCTAGCATGTGGATTCTGACACATGGTAAACACCTCACATTCACACCATGGCTATGCCATTGGGCTGATAGGTTTATGCCAATTTGACACAAGCTGAAGACATTTAAGAGCAGGGAACCTCACTTGAGAAAATGTCTACATGAGATCAGGCTGCTGACAGGCCTGTAGGGCATGTTCTTAATTAGTGACTGATGGGTGAGGGCCCAGCCCACTGTGAGTGGGGTCATCCATGGGCTGGTAATCCTGGGTTTCATAAGAAAGCAGGCTGAGAAAGCCATGAGCAGCATGTCAGTGAGCAGCTCCCTTCCATGGCCTCTGCATCAGCTCCTGCCTCCAGGTTCCTGCCCTGTTTGAGTTCCTGCCCTGACTTCCTCAGTGATAAACAGCGATGTGGAAGTGTAAGCCAAATAAACTCTTTCCACCCAAAATTGCTTTTGGTCATGGTGTTTCCCTGCAGCAATAGAAACACTAAGACAGTTATCACCTATAAAACAAAACAAAGCTTGGTGGGGTGACTGAGTCGAAGTTGTTCCAAGTGAGATATGAATGCAGTCTTACCTATCCTCTCAATTTCTTTTCTTTCTTTCTTTCGGGGAGGGTGTAAAATTGTTGTAAAAGAATGGAATGCTGTGTGTAGAAAGTGATGTGAGACCAGAGAAAGGGGGCAGATTCAGGGTTGCTCAGAGGACAATCTGGTGAGGTTTTGTTGACATAAGTGTGATCAAAAGAAGCCTCAAGACGAGCAGACCCCTGAGATTTGTGCCAGAGGACAGGGGCTCCTATAGAAATCAGGACAACAGTGTCTTCATCTAAGCTGATTGTTCCTCATTTACCATTTATCTCTAGCTAATGTCAAAGATGTCAGGAGTGCTCCCAAGGCTGACGGCCCTGGGCCTGGTGCAGAGCTCCATATTGCACTCGGGTGCTTTGTCTATCTGTAGCACACTGGGGAACTGGGAGAAGAAAAGAGGCTAGGATTAATCAGGTGGGAAAATGGGAGTGATCCAGATGGCTTCAGTCAAACAGTCTTGGGAGACACAGAAATGCATAGCACATTTGTATTTTACCAAAGTAATTCTGTAGTTTTGAATATAGAAATAAAAATATGAGCAGAAATGATCCATTGTCTTTTATGCATGGTTATAGTTTTAAAGACATTTTATTTTTATGTGTGCATATGTATGTGTCTGTATATGTTTATGTATGCTTGTGTGTGTATGTATGATTATATGTATGCATGTGTATGTGTGTATGCATGTGCATGTTTGTTTGTGTGTGTGTGCATTCAAGGAAGTCAGAAGCACTGGGTTTTCCTGGAGCTGTAAAACCAGGTGGTTATGAACTGCCTAATGTGAGCATTAAGAGCTGAATTTGGGCTATAGAAGGGGAGCAACCCCTCTTCACCAATGAGCTATCACTCTAGCCCCTCCTAATGGCTACTACTGACTGTAATCTACCTCTATTTATACATATCAAATCCTAGGAAACAGGATTTTTAAAATACCATTTTTATTCTTTGTCTCTGCCTGAGATAGGGTCTCTGTGTAGTCTAAGCTGGCCACAAACTTCTGTCTCAGTCCCCCAAGTTCTGGGATTACAAGTGAGATTTACCATGTCCACCAAAAGTCTTACATTCTTTCCAGGTGAAATCCTTGGCAGTCGTCCAGTGTTCTGAATGGATTTAGATTGGGAAATGAGATTTTCCTCAGAATTTAAAAATCTTGGTGAGCTGGATTTTATTCCAAAGGATTGCTCTAAACTCTTGTCAGTCATCTTTCCAGTTTTACGGGAATTGAATGAGATCACGAGACTTCAGCCAGAAGCAAAGAAATCCTAGATTTTTGCTCTGCAGAATGCAGAATTCAAACAGTAGGAGGGAAAATGCACTCTGACAACCTTCATGCATTTCAGGCTTTGCACAGCCTCCAGTGATCTGAGCCACTTAGCTGGACATTGTCCACATTGCAGGACAAAAATAATTAGTTAGACTTAAAGGGAACTGGGGCTTCAACGGAGCCCACAGGCACCTCACATGCTGCTGTTAATTCCCTGTTTCCATTTGCTTCTGTATAGGGTGTTCTCCTGGGTAGAAATTGCTCAATGTAGCATGTAGAAAAAGCAATGTCCACTACTTCTAATTATGCTGTGGAATACGTTGGTTTCTCTTCAGAATATGGATATCTTTAGTCTTTCACAGTTCTGCCAGGAAGCTCAGTGGAATCATCAAGTCCTATATTATCCCCACAAAGTCTTCTTAGCCTATTTTTGAAGGCATTTCATGTAGGCTTTCAAGAAGAAAATAAAAACCCAGCCTGAGTTTCAGTTACAGATATAAGGGTGATAGCCACAGCTTCAACTGTGGTGAATATAATCACTAGGTTCATTTCAGCTTTGGAGCATTCAACAGGAGCAGAGATGTTTGCTCCGGTAACATCAGTATGCACTGGAAATGAAAAACCAGATGTTGATCATATCCATGTAATTACTTTTTAAAAACTCAATGAGTCTTTTCAAGATAGGGGAATCAATTAACAGTAAGTCACTTTCAAAAGGAAAATCTTCCCACAGTATATTATGCAAAGGTATTATTAGAAAATGTATTTTTGAACAGTTTAAAAGTAAGACATTTGATTAGAAAAAAGTTAAAACCATCCATCAGGTTCAGTGATGCATGCCTGTAGCAGCTACTGGAGAGGCTGAAGCAGTATGGTTGCTTGATCCCAGGGGTTCGATACCAGCTTGAGCAACATAGTGAGATTTTGTCTTTTACCAAAAGACTATGAAAAAACATAGTGTCCCAACTTGAAACTTGACACTAAAACTAGAAGGCATTTTTCATATAACAACGTTTTAGTTTTGCACACAGATGAGTTTAAAGCTCTTGATGCGCTGTGTCAGTAACATAAAGTGAAAGATAAGCTCAGAGTCTCCTTCATGCTGGCTTAAAAAAGAAACTCAAAACAAGCTGCTCTCTTCAGCAGCGTATATGCTAAAACAGAAATAACACAGGAAAAATCAGCATGACCCCTGCACAAGGGTGACAGGAAACCCACGAAACATTCACATTTTAAAAATAAATACACGAATGAAGATCTAAATCTATAGAAGCCACAGGTGAGGCAATGGGAACTTCCTTTCAAAGCAAGCGGAATGAATGAGAGCAGCTTCCTGAGGAGCTGAATCCAGGGTTCCAGAGACAGGAATACCTGTCGTGTTCCACTCCTGAGCTTTTGCTTCTGCAGCCCCAGTGTTGCTTTCCTGAGGTACCTCAATATTTGCCTCTCAAGGGCTGTTTCTAAATGGCGGTAGTTTCTGATGATCGTTGGGAGGAACACTGTGCAGGAGAGGAACATGTCAACAGGCAGGTGATGCTTGTGTGTCTTCACTGTGTAAACATGTCCTTATCATTCATGAGCATCAGGAGTCTATAGGACAAGCAGTGCCACACTGAGTTAATTCTCCTGAAGAACAAAGTTCACTTGGCCAGGATAAGCTGGCCTCACAAGGATTAGGTGTAAAGGTTGACCCTTTCTCCCATGAGAGGCTGTGCAGTCCTGATCCACACACACAGGTGTAAGGTCAAAGTCACATTTCCTGATAGCCTTTGAAGCTCCGTGCACCGAAACCATAGGAGCTTGCAGCCACTTGTCTCCTTATAAGGTCTGTGTCCCATTGTCTTCTGTTAAACAATCCCACTTAAGAAATGAAGACTTGAAGGGACAAGAATCATTTCCCATTATGATTTATACAAAAGTATTATTTTTCCCATAAATGTATCATTTTTTCTCATGCTTATCTTTTCATTCTTCTAATCATATCCAAATAGAGCCAGCGAGGGAAGGCAGAGCTTGCTGGTGGCAGATGTCAGTTTTGGAGGGGTGACACTTAGAGGCATTCTGGATTACAGCCAGTGTACCCACATGTTACATCTTGGTGCCTGTGAGGTGAAGAGGGTCTTTCCCAAGCACAGAGTTTCAGCAGGAAAACTAAGACCTCGGGAGCAAAGGCTGCAGGCCAGTGTCGAATAATGAGATGGGAAGGGGCAAGAGAAAGATGCTCATGGTGAAGAGGAGGTATCTTCAGGATGCAATGCAAACCAGAGGGTGTGCTGCAGCCAAAACCCTTGTCCTAGCACAGGAGGCCAGTGATATCCACGTTAAGTTTACAAAAAGTCCCTCTCAGAAGCCTTGAAGGGTTTTCGTATATCTATTTAATTTGTTTAGTACCTATTTTAATGACTTAAGCTTTTATTTTATTTAATTTTAAACTCATCACTGACAAAATTGTGTTTATAGCATGTGGCGTAGTGATACAGACACACACACACATTTAAATATATCACTACATGTGGCACCATGATTTCGTGTATGTACCCTAATGATTAAACTGAGCTTTTAAATATATCTGTTACCCCACTTATGGTTTTGCTGCTGAGACCATTTCAATTCACTCCTTAAACAGTGTGCAAGACCATGATGTAACTGTAGTCACTATGCTGTACAAGGTATTATACAGTTTATTTCTGGCATCTGATGGAACTTTTGTGTCTTTCAGCTGACTTCTCTCTAGTCTCCCTACTCTTCATTTCTTTCTGTTTCTGTGAGCCCAGTTATTTTTTAAGTACTGTGGATATGGGTGAGACCATGTGGTGTTTGCCTTTCAGTGCCTGGACTGCTTCCTTTGGTGACTTCTGTATCTATGTTGTCAAAACTGACAATTTCCTCTTTGAAAGGATGAATGATATCACATTGTAGAGACAGACCAGACTGCCTGTATCTCCCCATCAGTCAATGAAAACCCGATTTGATTCCATGTCTTGAAGATTGTGAATAATCATGGGAGTCAGATGCCTCAGTATACGCCAGGGCAGGACTTCTGAGTCATTTGGTTGTTTTAGATAAATGATCACTGGAGAACTGTATATTTTAATTTTTAGAAAGCATAGAAAGAGTCTATGCTTTCCATATGGCTACACTTTCCCCCACCCTCATTGACAATTTCATTTGTTTGCTTTACAGTGGAGAAAGGACCCAGGCACTCACAGAGGATAGGCAAGTTCTCGACTTCATCGTGAAATCCCCAGTTCCTCGTCTTTACACTTATCTATTGTCTTTTAATTTGTCATTTTTACTTGTGTTTCCCTGGTGATTAGCAATGTGCATCATTTTCCCATATAACTGGCCATGTGCATGTCTTCTTTTGAGAAATGTCTGCTCAGGTCTAGGTTCCCTGAATTTCAATGAACAAGGTAAAGCTAGTAGCTAGGTGATTTGTCTCATTCATTTACTCATTAATTCATTCAAAATATTGAATGTCTGCTCTATGTCAAACACTGTCAGGAGAAATAAATCCAGGGATAAAGCAGTGCCTCTCTTTTTGTGAGATTAGATTTAAAATGACAACACTGGCTCTTATTGAGTACTTGCCTCATGGAAAGACACTTTCCTTGTGTTCTCCTTTGCTTCACACAACTCTATCTCATCCCCCATTGGTCTCACTTTCCACACAGAGAATTAGAATTCTAGAAGCAAAGTACCTTGTCCAAAGCGCAACAACAGATGCAAAACTCCTGAGTCAGAATCCCCAACAGTCCCTTCACCATGATGGGGGAGGGAGAGTTCCAATCCCTTAAGCGAAGTCCCAGACCCAGATAGGGTTAAGAAACATCTGCCTGGGCTGTACATATCTCACAACCTTGAAGTAGGTTCTCCATCTGCTCAGGGCAGATGGGAAGACACTGCAACATCCAAAAGGAGTGCCTATGGCCTGGTTATAAAACACTAACAATAAAACATCTTATAATGTCATTAAAAGGATCATTTAAGAAACAGAGACAAACACTAAGAAAGGTCTCTCACAGACAGAATTATTTAAGACTAAAGCATATTGATTTTACAATACTGTATTATTTAAATGAGCATAGTATACTCTATCATCTCCTTTGCCCATGTAGCTGATCAAGCTTTGTACTTGAGTTGAGCAGGATTGGATCTTTGACTTAGCCTGTGTCCTAGTTGGTTGGAGTTGCTATAACTAAAGTACTATAGACTGAGTGGCAACACATAACAGAAACCATTTTCTGACAGTTCTAGAAGCCGGAGTTCCTCAATGAAGACGTTAACTGATGGGTTGACATTGAAGAAGTCTTTCTGGTTTATGGATGACTGCTTCTGGCTATGTCCTCATGTGGTACAAAGGGTAAGGGCTGTGAAATCTTTTCTATGAGGTTAGTGATCCAGTTGGAAAGCACCCAAGCTTTATAATCACTTCCCAAAGGCCCCACCTCTCCCTGCATCTCATCAATGGGTTAAAATACAATTTGTGAACAGATACAAGATATTTCTTAGTGAGAGAGAGCCTACTACACCCCTAATGTCAGTCTTTGTGCATGCTCTGCCCTGGACAATTTGACCAAACATTCAAGGGAATATGATTGCAACAACACGGCTGTGTCATTGTCTCCTTAGGACAAACAGTGCCACTTAGGTAAAGTTGACATCTGATTAGATTTTTAACTTGGCATTTTTCACTGAAGCCGGCCATCTCTTTAATGATTCATTTAAAGTCTGGAATTTTCTTCACATTTAGTCTTGGATTCCTAGCATCATTGGAGAGATCAAAACATATAGAGATCACTCAACATACAAATAATTTACCAGAGGGTAAACTGCTGTGTCTTTATCTATTATGTGTGAAGATCAGCCTTGATAATGTCTTTTAAAAAACTGTTACTAATCAAATGAAAAGTGTCTTGATATCTGGAGCTCTGCACACAAGGAGGGTTGAACTTCCATAACAAAATCACATGGGAGGGAATTGTACACACTTTTCTTCCTTAATAATGGAGAAGTAATAGGAAATGCTAGTTTGTCTGCTAGGCAATGTAAACAAGAGCCTGTCAATCATTTATATTCCAGTAGGCTAAATGGGAATTTGAAGAGGATGGATGTGGTAGCTTGAATGAGCCTGCCCCCAGGCTCATGTATACGAACCCTTGTTCTCCAGTTGGTGATGCTGTTTGGGTTAGGAGGCATGGCCTTGCTGAAAGAAGCGCATTGCTGGGGTGGGCTTCAAGAGCTTAAAGCCTCACTCTACTCGGTTTTTCCACTCTGCTTGGTGCTTGTGCTTGATATGTAAGCTCTCTGTTTCTTGTTCTTGCCACCATGCCTGTAGCCACGGTTTCTGCCGACAGATCTTATCTCTCTGAATCCATAAGCCTACATAAACTCTTTCTTCTGTAAGTTACCTTGGCCATGATGTTTTATTACAGCAACAGAAAACCAAGCAACACGGTAACAGCACCTGAAGTTATTTGATTGTAAGGGATGCAGGCTAGAGGCAAAGACTTTTTGTGTATGTGTTTGGTGGGATGTGAACAAGAAATGGGTTCATTTTCCTCTCCGTCATTGCTGTTGGTCATTTCCAATCAGCAGTCTGTTTCCCAATCCTTAGCAAATCTCAGGAAGTACCGTTAGATTTTTATAATGTTCTGTTACGTGAAAGTCTAGGTCACTCTCCTCTAGCGAACACACTTAACGTTAGCCTCTTTACTTGCCCCCTGAATCAGTCCTCTTCTAGTCCTGCTTCTTCTCTGCTTCTCTCTGCTGTACACTTTCTGGCCTCTAGTTGCTAAGGTTCCTTCTCCTGGAACCTGACCAATTGGCTGGACACAGGGAGTGTTCCATCCAAAGATGCATGTGAACTCTAAAGTGTTCTCCGCTTGCCACATGCCTGCCACCACACTGTACAAGGCTGAAGTCCACTCAGAAGATGAAACCTGCCCGTTTTCTGCGCACACACAGCCTTGGCTCAGTTTTCTTGTGGATTCTTCTTTATGCATGCTTGTGGTGACCATTAGTTTTCTACAGTGAACCATGACCATGTATAACAATGATCTTTGAAGTCTCCCAAAGGAGGATGGGGCCCCACAAGGACAATTTCGCCAGGACTAGGACAACAACATCATGCTGAACAACACAAACTAAACATCAGCTTTGGACTAAAAACTGCTCATAACAATTTCAAGGATCACCTAAAGATGTCGTTGCCCTCAGACAGCAGGAAGTAGCTT